GAAGGTAGGAATAAAGCTTTTAGTACTTGCAGTTCACACATCACTGTGGCCTCAATCTACTATGGTAGCTCCATATTCATCTACGTCAGGCCATCTGGAAGCTCATCCATGGATTTCAATAAGGTAGCAACAATGCTCAACACAGTGGTAACCCCCTTGCTCAACCCAATTATCTATAACTTTAGAAATAAAGCAGTCAAAGATGTTTTGAAAGATAGAATGAAACAGCTTAGTTCCATCTTTGCAAAGTCAGTAGACTAAGCACTACATTTTCTCCTGAACTTCCCTTGTGATATGGACCTATCTGGGTTTAAAATAGCTGCCTTTTTTCTTCAATCGAATTCCAGTTCCAAAGCTTTCTGAAGAGCAACGAGGACTTTTAACTGTTTAGCAGCCACTTTCCTAGCAGGTGCTAACCATTATCTCAGAAACATATTGATGAGGAAGAAATAGAACATACAAACCCTTTCTCTTCTGATATGGCCTTGTGATGTTGCTCAACTATTATTAAAAATGTGATCTCATCCATCCAGACTCTTCAGTTAAATAATATGCTTCATTTTGGTAAGGAAGGAAAGGGGGAAGAAATGATACTGATACAAAAGTGCCTTTTAAAGGATACTTAAGTTCATGCTCTTTAGTTTGGTAGAACCCCTTTGTTTTCTCTCTTCTCTTCTCTTCTCTTCTCTTCTCTTCTCTTCTCTTCTCTTCTCTTCTCTCCTCTCCCCTCTCTCCTCGCTCTTCCCTCCCCTCCCTTGCCTTGCCTTGCCTTGCCTTGCCTTGCCTTGCCTTGCCTTGCCTTGCCTTGCCTTGCCTTGCCTTGCCTTGCCTTGCCTTGCCTTGCCTTGCCTTGCCTTGCCTTGCCTTGCCTTGCCTTGCCTTGCCTTGCCTTGCCTTGCCTTGCCTTGCCTTGCCTTGCCTTGCCTTGCCTTGCCTTGCCTTGCCTTGCCTTGCCTTGCCTTGCCTTGCCTTGCCTTGCCTTGCCTTGCCTTGCCTTGCCTTGCCTTGCCTTGCCTTGCCTTGCCTTGCCTTGCCTTGCCTTGCCTTGCCTTGCCTTGCCTTGCCTTGCCTTGCCTTGCCTTGCCTTGCCTTGCCTTGCCTTGCCTTGCCTTGCCTTGCCTTGCCTTGCCTTTTTTCTTTTCTTCCTGAAGAAAAAACAATTGGTTAAAACTACACTGAAGTGGATTACAATGCAATGTTAATCAGAATAACTGATCTCTTAAAACAATTCAGCAATAATGCAGCTTCCATAGAAATTGTTTTCTTCCTGACTTTTAAAATCAAAGAAACAAAGAAACAAGCAAACACACCTACGGAGAAATATTGTGGTTATAGATTAGATATAATATGATCTTTGTTTCCCAATAAACAGGTGTATTAAATACTCTTTTATGTAACCAGTACTAAAAGGTGACTAGCAATCAGATGTCAATAGAGAGATGGTGTCCCCAAACTGTCCACCAAAAGTAACCAAGTCTAAAACTGAGGCTCACAATAAGCCCACAAGCGCTGCGATCATATAACGGTATGTGTCAGGTTGTGTAATTTATTTTTTCAGTTGACAAATTTTCCTTTGCTTCAGAATATCAGAGGGAGAGGTGAGTTAAGATATCCTTCAATTATGTAAAATTAAATGTTGAGCTGTAGCCAAAAGAGATGGAAAAATGAAGAAAATAAATAAACAGGGAAAATGGAGAAAGTTGATGAAAAATGTTATGTTATATTTATTTGACACTCTATCGGTTTGACACCTTTAAAATTAGGAACTGGGTATTAAAGCACAGGAGAGTGAACAAAATCTACACTGGGCAAATGGCACCTAACAAAATTATTCTACAAAATTTTAACCACATGCCCTGGACGATTATGGAGATGAAAAGAGAATATGAGTATATAAAACTTTACAAAATATACAGAACATCAAACCCTTACCATATAGTATCTCAACAATTCAGTTAGACATACATTTCCAATATCAATGATACAAAGTTTCAATATAAGTTCCTAATTTGGAAACTCACCTTTCACTTCAAACATGTACCGAGAAACATCTCAATAGTTCAGAATTTGTTAAATAAACATGAAGAATCTCTTCCGCTTGAAGAATAGTTTTGGCTTATGTTATTGAAAGAAATCCTATTAGTAAATACTCTGTAAATAAAATTTAAAGAAATACCTTGGAGTATCTCAAGTAGTTCTATATCAGTTCAATGCAAGTCTCATAAGCATGAGAAGCCATAGCCATGAGTAGCCTTAGTTAATGTTCATGTTGAGTAAGGAGATGATAGATTTAATGTTGTCTGATCCTTCATCATGAATAAATCAAAGCATATCTGCACTAAAGAAAGATAAACAAACACATGAAATAAAGATACAGCAGGAAATGATGTTGAAAATAATTGTATTCATTATGTGGTTGCTTGCTTTCTTCTGATAATTTTACAGCTGTATGAAAGCTGTGACCCAAGACGCTTAGCCTACAAACCAAAGTTCAGCAAAGTGCAGGAAAAGGAGAATGAATAAGACAAGGAGAATCCATTTCCATTGTACATATTTTGTCATCCTCACGCAAGGGAAAAAGGGTGTTCAAAGTTTTTTTATGAAAAGGCATTAAATTTATATGCAGTAGGTATCCGAGAAGAAAAGAACGTTTGCTGTACAAATGACGTCACTTGATATTAAACTTGTCCCCTTGAAAATGGAAGTAGCATACTGTTATTCATATTGTTATTATTCTTACTCTTGTTCTTATTATTGTTATTGATTGCAGTCTTCATACATGGTAGTCATACTATAGTGATACAATTTAAAACAGAATCATCATTCATTTGTGAATACAAACAATCCTAATTTGCTAGTGTAGACATGTACATAAATGACATTGGTTGGCATTCATACTTTCTAAAAACCAAGTGGAGAAAGGCATGGTAGCTTGTGAAAAGCCAGTATTCTCAGATTTTATATGTCAAAATTTGCAAATTAGTCTGGGCATTGGCATTGATCGAGTTATTAGTCATTTTGACAAATAAAAACATTGTAGGAAGACAACTGTGAGAGCCTAGAGTAGCCAAACTCCAGAAAGAGTCTGCTGGCACCTTTTGAGAACAATACATTTTATTTTAAGGTATCAACTTTCATGAGCTACAGCTCAATTTCTGAATTTTGTAAATATAAAGCAATTGAAATGCATATTCATTGAAATATGATCTTCTACAGACACTTTAGACTTCATCCAAACTAACCCTCGCAAGATACTTTTTTTTTAGGTGAGGGATAGAAGAAATATTACAAATACACATTTCTCAGTACAGCTTTCCTTCTCTCAGTTTAGTGATGTATAGTCAGTCACCAAATGTGTTACTCATGTTTTCAGAGAAATATATTTGAACTTGTGTACAAGTTTTAAATTGAATTTATTTACAGTCTCAAACCAATAAATCAGAAATACAGAATATAAAATACAGAAACACCAATAAACACAAATATAAAATAAATTAAAAAATATTTTACATGAAGTACAAAACCTTTCTTTTTTCACTGGTCAGAAATAAGTAAAACATTTTATCAATGATGAAATGAAATTAGTTTAAACCTTAATTAAAACAGCAAGAAACTTCCCTTCATCTCATTTGTCCCTTTCTTCTCCTACTTTCTGAAATTCCTTTCTCCTTCAGGCTGCCCAAAATTATATATGTAAAGTAAACTACCTTTTCCAGCAACCAAAGGCAACCTATACAATGGGAAAGGATGATGGGAGTTGTAGTTTAGTAAGACCTCATAATTAAAGCATGGGCTATATTCACCGTTTATACTATAGCCAAAACCGATCAAATCTCCTATGGCTTAGGGCAATGAATACGCGTCACCATAGATGTGCTTTATTGGCTACCTTGTGCCACAGAAGGTGCATACACTATTTGTACAGCTCTAAGTGAGTTATGAAATATGTCCGCACCTTGATGCTACTAATATTTTAAGAAGGTGGTCTAAAATTCACCATTATTTGTTTTTTAATAAATAAATTAAATGCGACATTTATTTGATTGATTGTTAGATTGGTTGACAGATTGATTGATTGATTGACTGATATAAACACCCATCTTATGCACCATAAACCTAAGTGTCTTACACACATAAAATGACTTTAAACTCTAACATGTGTATTATTAAGTATCCATGCTTACAATAGCTTTTTCGCATATAGAGATTTTTGGAAGGATTTTAATTAAAAATCCATCCATCCATCTATCTGTCCACCAATCATGTTGTGGGATATGCTAAATATTCACATTTTATTAATCTATTTCAGTTTTGTTTAACATTATATTTTTGTGCATCTTGACTTTTTTTTCACATTATTTTTGGAACTTCAAATATTTTGTTCAGTCATTCCCAGTAGAGAGTCATAACTCCATGTGGGACTAGGTAATAGATCCCAACTTCATTACTACTTTAGTGGAAAAGTTTGTTCATTAAAATGTATTAATATATAGAGGGGTTTTTTTTCTTTCTTTCCAGTAGTCCTCTGATTTGAAAATTCTTCTTTGTGGACTTGAGAGAAAGAGAATACATTGTTCAGTCAAGACGTAATTGTCAAAAAATACATATTCCTTATATATGCCTTATGAAAAAGGCTCTCAGTTTCTCTCATCTTTATTTCCTTACATTTGGAAGCCAAAGGGATGACAAGGAAACTGATGTTTGGATCTATAAAAATAAGGGAATGCTTTTTCCTCAATCTTAAAATCAGTTTTCTCCATCAGTTCTACTTGATATTCTACTTTTTCCTCAATCTTAAAATCAGTTTTCTCCATCAGTTCTAC